TATATTTATAATAATACATATATTATTCATATAATATAAAGTAATATCATATTATATTATACATTTTTATATCATTTTATATAAAAAATAAATTACATAATTTGTATATAATATTTTTATAATATATTTTGATTTAATCATGAAGTTATTATTTTAAAACAAGTTAAAACCATCCGTTTTTAAACAGCAATAATACTAAAAATTATACAGCTATAGGAGCAATAAAATAATAATAAAAAAAAAACTTTTCCTGGAAGACAACAACATTGGCAATAACTAATGCTTCAAAGACTCTTGGAAAATCACAACAAAAATCACAACAATGCTACCTTGGTGACATTTACATTCGCAGATTTTGCAACAACAATGTCAAATACATCACATAAAACCAAATGATTAAGTATGCAACGCAAAAAATCCACATGCATATATGAGGCTGTGATAATACAGCACTGGCCCAACAGAGCAAGTGACCTTTCTGTTAACTGGCCGGAAACGCTCTCTCTATCAGCCTATCCTTAAAGTTTAACCCTAGCATGACACCCATTTATTCATTCAGTGTTTGGTCTCTGTGACTCTGTGCAAACATTCAGTATGCACACAGAAAAAAAGCCAGATTTGACATGCGAGGTGTACATAGACCAATGCAATAAACTGCACATATAAGGAAAGCGTGGTATACTGGCATGTATTCATTTAGCAGATGCTGTTATTCAAATCAACTTACAAATAAAAAATGCTACAGCATAAGTGATTTACAAGTTGTTTAACATTTTATAAAAGTTGGAAGTATCAGACGCTGGGAGTTGTTTACATACAGCTCTCGTCTACACACTGCACCAGGGCAAATTGATTATTCATACCTTCACACAAACCAATATCACAGCCATTTCTGATTCTTTAATGCTAATATGGAATGCGGGACAGTTCTATATGTCAGAGACAGGTCAGATGAGTAGTCCTACTGCGGACAGGGATTACAGTACACACATTCATTCATTTCTGCAGGATTATGTTCTGATGGAGAGTGCTAACCCCAAACCCCCCTGTCCTTTCCCACTGGGCCTGTTCTGCACAGATGGCTAGTGGGATTTTACCTCTCTAATCTCTTTTCTTCCATTCCCTCTCTCGGTCTTCTCTTTTCATTTCTTAAACCCACAGTAAATGAATATGCTGAGCTGGACAAATCGGCACTGAAATGACTTTTGGTTTTCAGTGTCTTTTGCCCTCCATTTTCATTCATTATTCCTACTCCATGTTGATTTTCTTCCAAATTTCCTTGAGAAACTGATCAAATTTCTACAAGTTAATGTACACCAACTGCATACAAGTCATTCTTATGCTGTTCCAGCCACCATTATATTATTGGACAGTCATGCAAAGACTAAATAAACCTGTAATATAT